GGGTGACGCGGTCTCCTCGCTGCAACTCATCTGTATTTCATGGTGTTTCCTCTCTCCTGCTGCGGAACAGCGCCTGCCCTCGCGGGGCTCAGCTCCAGGCCCCGCGCTCTCGGCTCAACCAGGACGGAGACGCAGCGCTGTTCTCGGCAGCACAAACACACGGATTTGCAAATGCATCGTCAAGGCCAGTGTAAATGAATTCCCGTTTGCCCTGCAGCAGCATGTCCTTAATGACACGTCAGAAAGGAGCTCTGCTCCGTTCCCAAATCCTCCCGTGCTGTTGCTGCACACCAAGGCTGGAAGAGGAGGCGGCCAGCTCAGAAGCCCTCTCCTACCTCTTGTTTTGCTTTTCTTGAAGTGGTTAGAAGTAAAAAATCGATCAGTTTAGAACACGGACATAATCGCTTCACCGTTCTTTGGTACAGACATTGGCCACAAAAACCCACTGGGACACTGGACACCACAAGCACATGGCACGCTTCGAGTTTAAGAGGTGCTTGCAATTTCTCTTCTGCTATGTAAAAAAAAAAAAAAAGGGACTGCTTCCAAAGAACCACTCACCAGCCACGTGCTCAAAATTTCTGCTGCTTTTTAAATACACACCATATTCAGAATTAATTTTATCCCTTGAGAGTCCAGCTGGAACACCCCGGCTACCGCTTCCGCTCGCCTTTCTGTGTCCTTTTCTTCTCCTTCTCCTTCCGCTCCTGCTTGGCTAGCTTATCCTTCTCTCGCTGCAGTTTATCTTGTTCTTTTTTCTTCTGGAACTCGTCTCGCAGCAGCTCTCGTTCCAGTTTCCTGGCATTCAAGACATCCTCCACGTTGGTGTTTCGGAACAGCGCTGGCAGGGTGTTAAGGGCAGACAACGCTCCGGCTGAAGCCACACAGCTTCCGCTCCGCAGCCGTGTTTTGGAGCTCTGAACTTACTAAAGCTTATTCCACCTCTTCCCCTTCACCTTCTGACTCCCACTTCGGCTGCCTCGCCAAGCAGGTAAGGAATTTGGGAATGAGAAACGCAGAACAGAGAAAGAAAAAAGGATCTTTGTTTTGCCAAATAGAGAAATCGCGTAGAATAAACGCCCGCTCCCTAGGAAAGGATTCTGCTGAGAAAAATCAAGTTGCCCGCAGGTTCTTAAGACTGATCCCTAAAAAAATTTGTAAATGCTCTACAAACCCGAGAGGAAGAAAAACAACACGTGGTACAGCTTCCTTGAGTGGATTAGCCACAGCTGCGTCCGTGCCACGTATGTTTTTCCATGTACAAACGCACACGCATGTGCAGACAGCCGCAGGCACGGGGTGACAGCCGCCGCCCTGGGACACGGTGCTGGC